CCCAACTTTGATCCCAGACTCAGCCCTGATGTGAGTCCACAATTTCATCAAGAAATTAAAATTCCCTTTATAAGCCAAGATCCATTATTTCTCTCCTTTTCAAGCAAAACTCCTTGCAAGGGTCACGCATACTCGCTGTCCCTCATTTCTCTCCTGCTAGTCTTTCTTTTTTTTTTTTTTTTTTTTTTTTTTTTTTTTTTTTTTTTGCGGTATGCGGGCCTCTCACTGTTGTGGCCTCTCCCTCTGCGGAGCACAGGCTCTGGATGCACAGGCCCAGCGGCCACGGCTCACGGGCCCAGCCGCTCCGCGGCATGTGGGATCTTCCCAGACCGGGGCACGAACCCGTGTCCCCTGCATCGGCAGGCGGACTCTCAACCACTGCGCCACCAGGGAAGCCCTGCTAGTCTTTCTTGAACCTGTTCCAGCCAGCTTGCGCCCTCCCATCCACACCACAAACACTGCTCCCACGACCAGTGACCTCCACGATGCCAAGTCCGATGGTTAATTCTTAGACCTCAGCTGGTGTGGATCTGACAGCTGGCCCCTCTTATCTTGAAACACTTTCTTCACTTGGCTTGTAGGGTGGCCTCCTACCTCTCCAGCTGCTTCTTCTAAGACTCCTTTGCTGGGTCCTTGTCTCAAACTCTAAATGGTCGGGCTGCTCCAGGGCTCAGTCTTGGGACCTATTTTTCTTCTGTCTACACCTATTTGCTGGGAGATTTCACCTAGTCTCAGAGCTTTAGAAACCAATAATATATACGGGTTCTATATAATGACGACTCCCAAACTTATATCTTCAGACTTGTGTATCTCACTGCCTACTGACATCTCCACTTGGAGGTACTAATAAGGAACTCACATCTACCCAGCCCCAAACAGAGCTCCTGTTATCTCCCTAATTCTGTGCCTTCTTGTGACTTCCCCATGGCAGTGAATAGAACTCCATCCTTTCAGCTGTTCAGCCCTAAAACCTTGGGAGTCATCCTCGACCCTTCTTTTTTCCACTCTACACTTGTCAGTGAACACTTTCGGCTCTACCTTCAAAATATGTTCACAATCTGATTGCTTTCACAACCACCTCTTGTTAACAACCAGGTTCACATCCCCATCACCTCTCACTTGGATAACTGTGAAAGCCTCCTAGCTGGGCTTCTGACCTCGTCCCTGCTGGTTTATTCTCAACACGCATCCAGAGATCCGTCAAACTTAAATGAAATCATCTTACTCCTCTGCTCAGAGCCCCCAGTACATTCCATCTACCAGTCAGAGTCAAAGTCCACACCATGACACATAAGGGGCCCACGTGACCTCTCTGACTTCTCCCCGCACTCTCCCTCATTCACCGCTTCAGCCATGCTGGCCTCCCTGCTGTTCCTGAACATGCCAGGTATGGCCCCTCTTCAGGGACTTTGTACTTGCTGTTCTCTCTGCTTGAGTTCTCACCACCCCCTCCCCAGACTGAGCCTGGCTCAATCCCTCCTTTCCTTTGGGGTTTTACTCAGACTCCCCTCCCAGACCATCCTATGTAAACCGCTCCTCTCACTTCTCCCGTCCTCTATTTGGTTTTTCCCCTCAGCACTTCTCATTGTCTAGTATCTACTAGTTAGCCTTACTGTCTCCCACTAAGATGTAAGCTTCCTAAAGGCAGGGACTTCTCTCTGCCTTACATAGTGATGCACCCCCCACCCACCCACCCCCCAACCTGGCACACAGCAAGTGCCTGATATATGCTTGTTGAGTGCATAAATGAATGAATCCTGGAGGCTGCAGAGCGGGAGAGCTTGAGTAGAATTTAAGAACCAAAGGAGAAAACCTGCAGGCTTGCATATCCTGGCACTAGGCTGGGATCCACTCACCAGGTCAGCTCTGCCCATCTCAACCTTGCTAGTCACCTCACACAGGGACAAGAGCCTGTGCTTGGACCAGCATGGTCCGGTCTTTCTCCTGGACAGAACTCTCAAAGCACATATCTCATCACCACACACCGGGCACCACATCTCAATGCTTCTTTCAATTAACAAGTACTGGGAAGTTCTTTTCCGAATGAGTTAAGACAACGTGCGCGCCTGCTGTCTGAATACCTCTCATGTGTCTCCACCCTGAATCTCTCTCCTGAAAACGTGACCGTGTCGTTGCTAGTTTGCATCCTATCAGACTGGAAGGGACCTTGGAGAAGCGAATGGGGACACAGGGCAGCCAGCAGGGGATGGTGAGAACTCTTCACTCTGACAGAAGCAGTCCCAGGAAATGGTACAAAAATACTGGGCCTCAGAACTCTGTCGAAAACAGGAGAAAAAAAAACCAAGACATACTTTTCCCCCCCTAAAGAATATCATTAGGTACAAACACGTGCTCTCTGCTTTATTTGTGAGTCACTTCACACATTCATCCGGGGCTATGATCGGTTCTGAAATGAGTAGTGACTTCATTTCCCCTGGGACGAGAGGGCTGGCTCACCATTTACTTTTTTAATGGCTGGGAAATGTTTTGGTCTCTTCTGAGGCTAGTCTGAGAAGACTCCCAGTTAGACACTGGCCAGAGGCAGAAATATTCCACATCCAATCACGTGGCCCTGACTGTTGTCTCTTACTGCCTATTTACACCCTCTGAAAGGCAGCTTTGTGATTCCACCAAGTCCCCTAGGAGAGGTAACAAACACCCCAAAGAGGAAGCTCTGGAGAGAGGACATTTGGGAGTGTGGAGGCCAGTGCCTGCTGGTTCCTGAGCCATTTTCACTGCATGGCTGAGATGAAGAGACCACCTAACAGCCTAAATCACAGCATGGGGACAAACACTTCTCAGTGTGGTGGCGCTTCTGGCTAGGGACAGCATGCAGTTCCGATGCTGAAACAAACTATAGCTCGGGGGAAATGGCCAAAGGAAGGATTCAAACAGCTGGGTCTGCAAGCACGTTCTTCCTGTGACACAAACAGCCCTGACATCTCAACACTGCTCGGAGCTGCTCACAGAGGGTAAACTGAGAAGCAGCAAAACAGGGCACTTAGCTCTTTATACTCCTCTGCTCCTGAGTGGAGCTCATCTCCCAAGAGCACGCCAGCTCGAAGCCCATCCTGATGAGAAGCAATCCCCTATGCTAGTGGCGGCCTCAGAGCATCCGCAAAGAGCGCGACCTAAACGTGCAGTGGAGTGGTAGCGTCCCTCAGGCTGCCAGTGCTGACTCTGCTTGCTCCTGGGCTCTCTTCTCAGCCTCGAGTGAGGCAGTAGAAAAATCAGTTTCCCATTCTGGAATCCTGTCAACTGGAACAAATCAACCAGTACTACCTGGGAACATCTCCACAAGGGCAATCTCTAATCTCCTTCCTACTCAAGCGGACAGTGCCCTTGAGTTAGTAATGCCCCATGTTTTTACCCACTTCCTTCATCTTTCCACCCAGCTCCAACAGATAACTGACAGCAAAGTGATACCTCCCCACGCTGAGGTCTCCTAAGAGAATGCTGCTGGCCAAAAAGAGATCTGATAACCGAGGACGTAGCTCTTCAGAGAGAAAGAGACTTTCAACTATGTTCAGAAATATAAAGGTCTAAGTGCTGGCGCTATGAAGGAAGAAATAAAGAGAAAGCTTTTTGCCCTTCCTTCAGCAGAAGGAAGTCCCAAGAGGAGCTGCACGTGGATCCAAACAAAAGCAAAGCAAAAACATCAACAAATGTACTCCATAATGGTGTCCATTTCTCAGCCCATCTTGGCTTCCAGCCCACCACGGAAGCCAAGTGTCCTGGCTTAGAACTTGCTGGGAAGACGTTCACAAATCCAGTTAAGCTGCTCAAAGGGACACTCCAGATGTATCAGCCAATACACTAATGAGAAAATATTGGAGTTTCTCCAAATAGATTTTGCTCTAAGTCTGCAGCCCACGAGGTTTCAGACTGGATAATGTAATCATTTAAACTCAGAAGTGTTCACATCTCTACATTTTCTGATACTCTACACACCCAGTGTTTCTCTGCATCTTTCATTCTGTGGCTGTTGTTCCATCTCCTCCAAAATAATTCCTAAGTTTTTCAATCTTTGGAAGTAAGGCTTCCAATTTGTGTGTCTACAGAGAAGGGGTAAAGGTAAGTCTTAGAAAAACATGCTACATTCCCATCATATAGATGGGAGTGGGCAAGGTCTAGAAGACTGCTAAACCCAAGCCAATACCAGGGTCTACTGGTTACCTGCAACAAGCTTAAATGTTTTCAAAAAGGCCCTGGTTGGGCAATACTTGCATAAAGTAAGCTTGGGAATGATCACAGACCTATAGCAAAGAACTGTTTAGGGTACAACAGCCTATGCAACTTCTCTGAAAGGCTGCTATTCATCAACAGAACTAGAAATTTCAGGGCCAAAGATATCAAAATGAACTGTCCTCTCTGCTGCTATGCCATGAGGCTCCTTCCCCAGGCATTTGCCATAATCTTCTTAAAGCTTCTTCTCTCCTGACAAGCCTCCAGAGGCCCAAACTTAATAGAATCTGAGAGAAAAGAGCCTGCCAGTCTATGTGCTGTCAGCAGTGAGGCCAAACTCTTCCTCCTGGAGTCAGTTCTCCCTGCTGAGCAGTCAGGTGACGCTCCAATTATGAACTAACTCTACTTCGGTCTCCTTGGCAAAGAGACTGTGTCTTTAGCAGCCTAGCTCAGGGGGCTCATAATTATGTCAGACCAGGTTGGGGTTTTTTTTCTTCTATTTTTGTTGTTGTTGTTGTTGCTGCCTTTTTTTTTTTTTTTTTTTTTTTTGTGGTACGCGGGCCTCTCACTGCTGTGGCCTCTCCCGTTGCGGAGCAAAGGCTCCGGACGTGCAGGCTCAGCGGCCGTGGCTCACGGGCCCAGCCGCTCCGCGGCCTGTGGGATCTCCCCGGACCGGGGCACGAACCTGTGTCCCCTGCATCGGCAGGCAACTCTCAACCACTGCGCCACCAGGGAAGCCCTGTTGTTGCTGCTTTTAAACAAAGAGGTTAAGCCTCTGTACAACCAAGTGGAAGAACCAGAATTAGAAAACTTACCAATCGCCCCAGCCAAAGAGAATCCATTTCCAACAGGTATTAATGCCTGTTAGAAGCCACTGGAACAATGACATCATCAGCCCAATTGATAGGTTGTCTGACAGATTCGCCCCCTTCATCGCACACAAGAATTTAAAACAAAACAAGACACTGCAGTTATATTCATTATTGCAGACACCAGGTTTGTGTTATCAAATCAAAATTACTCCTGTGGTGTGGACTCCACCATCATTCCCTTCAAAGCCTAACTGTGAGCTGGCCAACACCCTAAACTTTCTAGCCCAAAAACTCTTATCCAAAATACCAACTCAACACTTAGCCCTCCACTGGGATACTTAATGCCTTCTGGGGTACAGCATGCAAGTTTTAGACAGTGCATGCCAGTGTACCTTGCAACAATCATCACCCTTCTATCTGCAACGAAACCCATGTAATGGGGGCCCATGGGCCAATTGTTTAAAGCAGAACTACCGGCTCCTCCCTCCCTTTCTCTAAGAAAACAAGTAAGTGAGCAAGAAGTAGCCTCAGAAGAAACAAACTTCGGGAGAATGTGCACTGAGAAAAGCCAGACTGAGTCCCTCTGGATCAAGTTAATTAAGAAACAATTAGACATGACAGTACATTGGAATCAAAACCAAGGAATGAAGTGAGGACAAGTTTCTCAATTGCCCAGAGGAGAAGACGCAGTTCCTTTTCATCTAAAATTAGAAAGCCATCAGGAACATAAGCCAAGAAGCATGGGTAGGAGGCTGAGAACCGTAATGGGGACGAAGGTGGGGTGGAGGAAGAAAGTAAGTATCCATTTTGTTTTATTTCTTCTGTCATTCCTTAGGTTTGCTCCTGGCCTTTGGGATTCAGCAGTCCCCTCCCTCCCCCGCCCGGGATGTCTGGTAACAGGCTGGGAACTCTGTCAACAAGTTCTTAAACGTTTCACAATTCTGCAAAGAGCTGGCAGACAATCTAGTTGGAGGTTCAAGGATGCAAGTGAAAATATCAAAAGGAGGTTTCTGCCCACTCCGCAGTCTCAGGCGAGAGGTCATCTGCCTAGGGTGTGCCCTCGTGTCCTGACACCATCTCTCGACTGGGATACATCGCTAACTAGGTTGGCTTCCACACCCAGCAGTGCCCATGTGGTTGGCGCCGTCGGAATTTCCAGCATTCCCCCGCCCCTCTCTGCACACGGGAGAACCTTGAATTGCGGATGGGCACCTAGAGTTAGAGTGCAAGAGGGTCCCCGAACACAGAACAAGCGCACAGGACGTCGACCGCCTCCTCAAAGCAGACCCAGGCAACGTCCCCGGGCCTGGTAGCGCTCACGCGTGTCTGCCACCGGGCGGAGGGGGTGCCAGGCCCGCCCCGCGTGCCCGATCCTCTCGCCAGCCCCCGGAAGCGCCGCCCTCCAGCCCAGCGGGCTCGGAGGGGGCGGGGAGTCGAACGCCCCCTTCCGGGTGCCTCCGCCTGGCTGGCCAGCCCCGCTCCTCCTCCGGGCGGGAATCCTCCCTCCCCGCCCCTCCCGGAGCCGGGCCCCGGCGCCAGGCCTGGCCCCAGGGGGGATCCCCCAGCCCCGGCTCCTCCTCCCTGCGGCTTCTGCCCGTCCTCCCGACCCTTGAGAGCCGGGAAGACCCCGCCGGCAGCGGCCAGGACCCACCGCTCATTACGACATCTTCCTCCCTGGCCTCCGCCGCCTCCGCCGCCACCGAGAGCCTGACACCGCCCGCTTAGCACCCGCCAATCCCGGAGCCCGCCACCGCCCGAGCGACGGCAGCGTTCACCAATAAGAGTTCGGTACATTGGGGACCGACAGCACCACCAGCCAATCAAAGAGAGGCACCTAGAGCGACGTTGGTTTGGCCAATAGAACTGTGAAATGTCACTGATGGACGGTAGAGCGCACCAACCGGAAGCCTACTGAAGAGTGAGCGACATGTTCGCCAACCAACTGGCGGGAGGCAAAGTCCCGCCTACAAGGTAGTTGATGGACAGCAACAGGAAGCTGGATGGGGAGGGGCTTAGCTGAGGAGTGGTTTTGTATTGGTCGTGGTTGACCTTCCACCCACCTCTAACCCAGAAGATGAGTGATAGATCTGCCCTAAAGCCAATCAGAAGTCATCAGGGTGAGGCCGAAAAATGCCCCATAAATAGCATCTACTTTGCGCCTGAATCCAGTGTCGCCCTGGTGTGGCAGGGGCCTTTTGGTCTTCGGCCACTGAACCCCGTACCTGTTGAATGGAAAACCACCAGTCTTTAATTTAGTCTCTCGCCCTTCATCGCTTCTGGAGAGGGAGGTGAACCTCCGGGCGACTTTGTACAGCGAAGCATTGGAGTCAGACACAATAGCGGGAGTTGGGGCTAAGTGACACCTCTCAGAGGGGAGTATTTTTGCCGTCTCAGTTCAAACCCCTCTTAATCCTCACCTGCGGGTTATTGCATCGACCCTCTAACGTGGGTATCAGAATCACCTGAAGCTCTCTAAAAGTAGATTCCCGGGGCTGCCTCCCGTGTGTGGGGGCACGCCTGGAATATGCATTCTAACCAGCGCCTCGGGTGGACAGAATTGGCCTCTGTCCCACTTACCTCCATGAACGAGGTGCTGTGAGTTCAGCACTTGGCCAAGGCGCTACCCAGGTAGGTTTATCTTCCCTATGGCTGTGTAACTTTGGAAGGCGTTAGTGAGAAGGAATCCATTCTGGTTTCAGACCAGCCTGGGCTCGAAACTCGCACAGCCTACTTACAGAGAGGCAGGGTGCCGAAACTCCGTGCGCCTTATGTCCTTATCTGTAAAATGAGGCTAATCACACCTACATCTTAGAGCAGTGGCTTTCCTTTTTTTAAAAAAATCATAACCCCACAGTGAGAAATATATTTGCATCCTGACCCAGTACACTTATACTCCTGTGAGTGTATGATAAAACTTTCCAAAAACAATACTTACCCTTCCTACGCGTGATGGACTGATGTTTTCTATCCTGTCCTATCTTATTCTTTCTTCCCTCCCTCCTCCTTTCCTTCCTTCCTTTTTTTTTTTTCAATTGAAGTTTAGCTGATTTACAATATCGAGTTAGTTTCAGGTGTACAGCACAGTGATCTAGATAGATAGATAGATAGATAGATAGATAGATATTCCTTTTCAGATTTTTTCCCTTATAGGTTATTACAAAATATTGAGTATAGTTCCCCGTGCTATACAGTAGGTCCTTGTTGGTTATCTATTTTATATATAGTAGTGTGTATATGTTAATCCCAACCTCCTAATTTATCCCTCCCACCACTTCCTTTTCTTGATCATGACTGGCAGTTTGAAGAACACTATCATAAAGGGTTGGTGTGATAAAATACAGAGCAGAATGTCCAGTATATTGTAATTGTTTAATAAATGTTACTAATGTCTTCCAGTCTACCCCTCTCAGATTTAGCCTTTGAAAGAACAAGACTTCAAAAGATATCACTCCTCTAGTTAAATCGTCATTGGCTCCCTGCACCCTTCTGGATAAAAGTCCATACTCCTTTCTAGGCAAACAATGTCCTTCACACTCTTTGTGTACCTTTCATGCTTTATCTCCCTCTGCCACCCTATTCTCCTTCCGCAAATCCTACCCTTTTGCCTCAAGAAAAGATTCCACAGTTCCTAAACACTTAGGCATCTCTCTATTTCCCTTCCTACTTTTTCCTTCCTTTTTCCTGGTAAACTCCATGCATCCTTCACGAACCTGGTATAGTTCCCCGTGCTATACAGTAGGTCCTTGTTGGTTATCTATTTTATATATAGTAGTGTGTATATGTTAATCCCAACCTCCTAATTTATCCCTCCCACCACTTCCTTTTCTTGATCATGACTGGCAGTTTGAAGAACACTATCATAAAGGGTTGGTGTGATAAAATACAGAGCAGAATGTCCAGTATATTGTAATTGTTTAATAAATGTTACTAATGTCTTCCAGTCTACCCCTCTCAGATTTAGCCTTTGAAAGAACAAGACTTCAAAAGATATCACTCCTCTAGTTAAATCGTCATTGGCTCCCTGCACCCTTCTGGATAAAAGTCCATACTCCTTTCTAGGCAAACAATGTCCTTCACACTCTTTGTGTACCTTTCATGCTTTATCTCCCTCTGCCACCCTATTCTCCTTCCGCAAATCCTACCCTTTTGCCTCAAGAAAAGATTCCACAGTTCCTAAACACTTAGGCATCTCTCTATTTCCCTTCCTACTTTTTCCTTCCTTTTTCCTGGTAAACTCCATGCATCCTTCACGAACCTGCTCAACGTCTGAACTCTTGCTGAGCCAGAGCTTTTTACTTCTCTGGGCTGCTCTTGTCACGTGCAAAGGGCTTCACTCACTCACACTGCATTGCACACTTTTATTCTTACTCCTTACTTCCCTACTACACTGTGAGCTGCAGTGGAAGGTTAGAGGCCCATACTAGAGGACCAACAGGAAATGTATGCCGAGTTAAAGAATGAATATTTGCATACAATTACATCTACATGGGACTTGTTTATATAGACCGTGCATTCTGTTCCCAGGCCATTTTTCAAGTTAAGATTGCTTCACTGTCAAGCCAAGGACTAAACCCGGGTTCATGGACTCAGCTATTTAAGGGTGCAGGGATTTGGGGGCCAGGGAGGTGGGGTTGAATATCCTGCCGGGCGGCTGCCAAACCTCTTATGGGATGACAGCTGGGGCAGCTGTGCTTCTCCTACCCCAGAGGCCCCATCAGGAAGACAGCAGAAGTGAGGGGGGGGGGAAAGTTTGCATGTGTGTGGGTGGGGACGCAGGGTGCAAAAACGCAGAAGAATTTGCCAGCAGTTCTGAGTCATTTAAATTGCTCTTCCCTGCCATCTTTCTTGTTCTTACCAGAGGCACAGCCGAGGAAGGGAGCATCTTCTAAGGAGAGGACCCCGTTATACTTTTGTCAGGACCTTTGGTGTCTTTGAGCCTCAGTTACAACACCCTAAAGCCACCACACAGTTTTGCTTCCCACAGATTGCTTCCCACAGATGCCCCCATACTCCACAGAGAGGAAAGAGGCCGGGCAGCCAGTCCCTAATGCCTGCTTTGTCCTGGCTGCACTTTAGACTCACTCGAGAGCGTTTAATAAGTTTTAAAGCCTGGGTCCTATCCCAGGCCAAGGAAATCAGAATCTCTGGGAGTGCAATCCTGGTGACAGTATTAAGAAGCTCCTCAGGTGATTCCAACAGGCAGTCAAATTAGAGAACCACTCGTCAGCCCAAAGGTATCTTCCGACGGCGGTGCTCAAGTAAACCACTGTGAAGCCTCGCGTCTGTACCCTCCACCTCTACCCATTCCTGTCCCTCCC